CAAAGGGTCAGTCAGTCAGAGACGAGCAGACTGGCAAAGCCATAGATGGAGTTTCAGATGTAGTTCCTCCCTGGGGATCTCATGTGTTAGAAAACCGGTTTTGTTTGAATTCCTTCCCGTGGGTGAGGATATAAAGACAGGGAGAGAAAGGGGTGAGAGACATAGGCAAAAAAGCAAGAGAGAGAAACAGTGTGAACCACAAAGAGAAGTTTGAAAGAGAAAAACTTAGAGGGGCTAGACAGAGAGAGAATCAGTTGGGCTTTATTCCCCCGGCTGGAGCTTCGGCAGGCCATCCTGGGTTTAGTTTCACTCATAATTTTAGCGGAGGGGTCACTGCTCAAGACTTTTACAAAGTATGCACTCAGGATTTTAATGAGTCTCACACTGTGTGTGTTTAGGCTGGACTCACTTTTCCATTACAACATTTGCATGTTATGCCCATCGGGGAACCACTCCTTTTGTACCAAGTATATTTTGCCGGTGGGTGCCGGTGTTCTGTAATCTCACGCACACAGACTCCGAGACAGTTGCAGTAATACAGTATATTTAACCCAGCTTTCTACATTCATTCCTGAAGGCTGCCAACCCAAACCGTGCAGTGCCAGACTTTGGATTTGGAAAAGCCTGAACAAGTGGGGAAACGTAATGAGTGCAGGCTACAGCATAAAACAGTCAACCACGTAACTTCCTCCATCATCATAATTCCTGCAATTGATCAGTCTATACGTCGGAAAATACAAATGACAAATGCCTCTCACAGTTACCCAGAGCCCAAGGTCATGTCTACACATAGTATAGATATAGAAAGCCAGTGTGAAACCAGAACTTCTGGGTTGTGTTCTGGAAGAAAGAGAACCCTATTTAAAACCCCTGAGATTTCTAATCTGGCTAATAACTTGGAATGCTGTTGTTTTCAATAGTATGTTGTGCGTTTCACTACATTTGCTTAATTAATTTTATATCTCTGTTTTTACCGGGCTTTAATGAACAACATTTCCCAGAAGCCCGAGCTCGTCATGGCTGAAATGTCACTAGCTGATCCCATTCGACTTGTGGGAGAGTTTAACTGAGGTCCTGGGTTGAGAGATGGCTGGAACTGTTACACATCTTCTTATGTGTGGTTCTCCACAGCTCTATGGAGCATTTTAGTGTCTTTCAGCTCATTGCTTTAGCAAATTAGTCAACATAGTTTCTGTACAAACAATTCCTTTAATGCCACTGTACACTATCTGTCCCACCCCAAACAGCAGTGGAGCATTTAGCAGCTAAAGAGCCAGAAATTTCCCTTAGACACAAAAATAGAACTCAAAATAAGACAGACATCAGACTTAATATCTATCAGAGGCTGGAGACTCGGAATGAAAAACGTCGCTCTGTGGCTGCTGGAGTTTTAAATAAGCAGCTGTTTGCTAACACATTGGCTGTTTTCTCTGAAGATATTGTCAGTGTTGTTTTTCCTGCTGCCCCCAAGTCACCAATAAAATCTGTCAGTGCAGGTTTAAGCACAGGCAGGTGTTGGTGAAGCTATCTGTAATGGTTTGTGCCAGTCGTATTATCAGCAGGTTTACACGTTAGGAGGAGATGTCTGTAATCCCCACAGCCTCATCTGGTCTGCTGCACAACTCATTTCACAAAGGGTGCCCCAAGTCCTCGAGACAAAACCGAGAGATGACAACTAAATGTGCAAACAGCAAGCATCACGTCTGCTCACTGCTTTCATCATTTACTACTACACACAGAAACTCTGTCTTGTTAAACATCCCCCTGTGCCGGTTCAGTTTCCTGCTCAATCCTGACCTGGTGGCACATGTATTCAAAACTGCACAGAGGCTGCTGAGCTACTCAGGGATGACAGATAGTTTACAATAACTACCACAACCTTGAGGCATTAGGGTAATGATAGTTTTCATCCTAAACCAGGCTTGAACAGTGATTTGTCGACATGTCCTCACCTGACACAACTAAAGGTTGAAAAGTCAAACTGTTGCTCACAAAACATGAACTGAAACACACCCAGTTTGTTCCCGGGCTGACACCAGTCGAGCTTAGAGAACCAGTGTAGGAGGGTGAAACAAAGAAAGATGGCTGGCAGAGCACCGAGATGGATCCTGTGTGGAAGAAGCAAAGATCCTTTCCTTTGATGTGGCATATGTACACGTCCATAGCAGGCCCTCTGAGAGAAAGAGACCGCAAAGGTGAATTTACCTGCCACCTTCACCCCTTTCTGTGCTGTCGTGTGGATATGAGAGAGATGAGGCTTAATGAGAGGAGGCCACCTGACAGCGGCACAGAGGAGGCTGCAACTCTGAGGTGAAGCACAGCTATTTTAAAAGAGAACAGCTGAGGTGTCTGGCAGCATAACCACGTTCAATAACAAGCACACTGTACAGAATATAAAAATCGTGAAGGCCTTTTATTCCTTTATTTATTCAGGGTAGGTTCACTGAGAGGCCACCCCTCTTTTTCAGTGCTGCCCTGTTTGCATTCACACCTGGAAGCTGCCCCATGACTGACCCATGGCCACCAAGGAGCCTGGAGTTAAGGGCCTTGCTCATGAGGGTGGGACAAGCACTGCCTTTTCACTGGGATTTAATCTTGCCAGTCTGGGGATTGAACCGGTGACCCTCTTGTCACAAGTTTGCTTCTCTAACCTTTAGATGGCCACTGCCCTGATATCCTAGTCATGAACAGCTTCCAGTCAACTGGAAAACACAGGCCTGTAACATAAAGTGTTGGCATATCTTGGGTTATTTAGTGAATGCAATGCCCAGATTCAAAAATCCCCTCAGCCTGTGGGAAACACCGGGGTTCCTGCTAACTTTCAGACATCCATATATGTGTGATGCTACCTGTGTCTCCACTGTCACTCTGTGCACAACTCTGCATTGCAGAGATTAAGACTGCTTATCTGTGGATAGGTAATTTAGGCGAGCAGGTGCGAAGGGAGATAAGTCTTTTCTCACTAATAAATCCCTTTGCAGTGAAGGGAATTGAAGTGAGTACAATATGGAGAGAGTAAAAGCACAGAGGAAGTCAGCTGACCACCAATCAGAAAGATCTGAAAGCTGCTCTAAAGCCTAGAATAAATCAGCATCATGTGACTCCAGGCTGTCTGATTTATTGGTCAGAAATCTGAGACAATGCTGCTGAAAGATTTTCATAAAATCATTTGTGGATTTCCTGTTGAGTTTATGTGAAGACCCTGACAATAACCTGACAGCTGCCTCCCTTGTAAACCACATAAGACTAGAGCAGAACTGTGTTTGTGCAGGAAGATGCTGCTTTAGTGAGTGTGATGTTAAGAACACAGGAGCCTTGTTTTACAGCCACAGGCCTCAGCTATAATTAAACATCCAGACTAATGGGAGGAGAAGCTCAGTGTGTCAGGCAGCTAATTGCTGCACTCGGTCTCTCACTTTCACACACACTGTGTTCTTTTGTCTTTGCTAATCTAATCTGGCTCAGCAACTCAAACTTCGAGGTGGTTGCCTCCTCCTCGTTTTCCTCCAGTAACAGATGTTTGGGTTCATTGAGAAGTTCCTCATTACCGCCGCTCTTTGCTCTCAGCGCTCCTTCTTTTCTCCTCGGGTTCCTGCTGCTGCTGAGCCTCGCAGTGCAACATCAGCGTTCACATCAGTGAGTTCACTGTCAGGACTGTGTCACAAAAGGTATTCGCATCACCACTTAGCGCTGTAAATGTCTTATCTTTAATTAATTGATTAGCTGATGCATTGTCACAAAACATCCCAGAGCCCTCTGTGATATCTTCAGACATCTTGTTTTATTTTATTCTAAATCCAAAAATAATCTGTTTACAATTAGTAAGACAGAATAAAGCAACAACGTTCTGCCTTTCTCCTTGACCAATCACACGAGTTGATTAATTTTTCGCTGATGTGCTAATTGATCAGACTTATTGCTGCAACACTGGCAAAAGGTAAATTATTTAAGTGATTAGTCGATTAAAGATTTGCTTGAACAGCGAATTAAATGATTAGGTTGTGCGATGATTGAAAGACACAACAAAAACTAATGACTGAAATGGGGTGTTTTCCATAAAGATATTATAACATTGTCTTTATTAGAGCCCTACATAGAATAATCTTTAGTCATTTATAGATACCTGACACTTCCTTATAGATAATAACTGTGCTGTACAATCTTGACGGATGTTCACTTCTGGTGTCACTCAGAGAGAATATACTGCAGGCTAAAAATAAAATAGAACGAGTTCTCTGACCTGAAGACTGTTGTGTTTGGAGCTGTTTTCAGGAAGCATCTGCAGTTTTCATTTCTGCCAGATAAACCTCCAGCAACAGGGTTGGGCACCCTGTGTGCAAGCTGAGAGGTGACACACAGGGCAACAGAAAACACTCACTCCCCCACTCACTGCTGCATTCGCTGTGTTGCTTTGAGTGCAAGGTAATGACTGAAGGTGGTTCAGATGAGTGTGTTTATTAACTTCTTTCATCTGGAGTCGGGTCGCTGCACAGTGACAACAATGGTCTGAGAGGTTTTATGAAAATCCGGGTGAAAAGATAAAAGTGAGGAGGAAAAAAAAATTGGATTTTGGGAAGCTAGCGTTGCCTCAGAGGACCCACAGCAGTCAGCCCGAGTGGTTGGTCGGTCGATAGCTTAACGTGGTCCCCAGTGAAAGTCCTGTGATGGACATAAACAGGTACACGGCACCAAAGAGGGTGAAGAGTTACAGGTGCACAACTAATGTTGACACCTGTACAGTATGTGTGAGTGCCTGCGCCCCAGTGCCGACGGGGCTCACCCTGTTCTCAACTGGAGAACATTTGGTTTTGGAGAGCTGATTGGACAAAACAAGAAACTGTGACATGTATTTTCACAATGTTCTGACTCCGCTGACAAATAAATTAAGATGAATCTATATACATTAGACGCATCCTTACTTGTGCTCTTTTCTATTTGATGCTCGATGGAAAAGTGTTAAAAGTTTCTGCCTCCTTCCTTTCCTTTTGTTTCTCCACCAGACATGATGGAGCGGCGGTGGGCGTGGCACTTTGCCCTGGTGTTTCTGGCAGCCGTTTACCTTAGCCCCTCCCAGGGCAAAAAGACAGACTTCCTGTCTGGCACTCTGATCAACAACGTGGTGGTCAACCCTCGTACAGGCCAGCTGTACGTCGGCGCCGTCAACAACCTCTACCAGCTGACCCCTGACCTCGAGGTCCTATCTAGCACCGAGACGGGCCCCAAACGGGACAACAGACAGTGCACGCCACCCATCACTGAAGCCTGCGAGGAGGCCATGGACACAGACAACCACAACAAGCTGCTGCTGGTCCACGAGGTCAAAGACATACTTGTAGTGTGCGGCAGTGTCTTCAGAGGGATCTGCTCGCTGAGGAACCTGAGCAGCGTGGCGCAGCTGCTGTACTTCAGCGACACCAAGGGAGAGAAATCGTACGTGGCGAGTGCCGAGGAGAGTGTCTCCGTGGTGGGAGTGATGTCATACTACACCAAGGACAGAGACAACTTCACTGTTTTCCTGGTGAGGAGAAAACACTGACACAGATGGTTTCATTTTGTTTCCTGAGGTAAATAAAAGATGATATAAATGATGGTAAACAGACAATAACATTTCAGTTTGTGAGGATGGAGAAGCTGTCAGCTGGATGAGGTGTGAGCACTCCTGTTGGTTATCATAACTGGTATTTTATTTCTTCACAGTGTCGTGCATAGGTCTTTACAAGATGGTTTATGATGTTTTGACTTCCACAGCTCTTTGACCTCCTTCTCTGGTTTCACATAAGGAAAAACAAATATAAAAACAAGAGCGTAGACATTTTCCCCGCCTTATTACATGAGTTTGTCGTCTCTGCCTTAGGTTGGTAAAGGCTACGGTAGCCACGACAGCACCAAGCTGATCTCCACCCGCATCCTCCAGGACTACGGTGACTGGGTGGTTTTCGACAGCATCATCGAGGCCTCAGCGGTCCAGGCCAACCCTTTCGTCTTACGGTACCTCCATGACTTTCGCTTCACCTTCAAAGACGGTGGCTTCGTGTACTTCCTGTTTTCACGGACACTCGGCCTTCAGGACAACAAGAACTTCACCTTCATCTCCAGGATGTGCGAGAACGATCCCTGGTATTACTCATACACTGAGCTGCAGCTGAACTGTAGTGCTGCCAACAAGTACAACAAAGTTCAGGCAAGTGAGAACAACACTTCTTGGCATTTTACATTTGGATGAATGTCTTAAATTTTAAATGTCTGAGAACACCTCAGATCTGATGCCTGAAAAGTGGCTCTTGAACTTCAAATATCTCTAATGTGTGGGCTCTCCACTCTCACTATACCTGTTACATTTCGTCTTCCAGGCTGCCTATGTAGCAGCACCAGGTGAAGCCTTGGCTCAGAATCTGAGCAGATCATACCAGTACGGAGTGGTCTCAGCCTCTGACAAGGTGCTGTTTGTAACCTTCACTTCTGACGAGGGCCCATCTACTTCAGCCATGTGTAGGTGTCAACCTCCTGCTTCAAACACATGTTCCTGATACATGTGTTGCCTAACTTTTGTTTGTGACTTGCCACAATATTGAAGATCTTGTCTATACATTTCACTGCCGCTTGGACATGAGGCCATTTATTGAATACTTGACCGTGTGGCTCAAAATATATGTAGTTATTCTCAGAACCAGTTGAAATCTATTTGGTTTACTTAGTAGCTGTTCAGGAGCTTTTCATTGTATCACATGAACTTCAACACCAGATGGAGACAGTTTTCCAAGTGCATTCTTGACCTTAGACCTCAGGTTTTAACCCAGTTTGCACAAGAAACGCCCAGAAAACATGTGATTGTGAACACATGCATTTCTGTAGAACAATTGGGCAAACTCCCACCTGACAAAGACTGTGATATGACTGAAAGCTCCAGAAAGAGCTGGTTAATAGAGCCTTGTGGTGAGGTTGTTTCCTCAACTGTGCACAAATGTTTCTACACAACCAGATAAATGTGTCAACAGAGAAAGACCAGGTGTGTTGCCATAACAAACACCTAGACTGTATTCACCGGTTAACTCCAAATCTGTCAGTACTACCATTTCCACCTTAACAGGGTGAGCAAACCTTTTGTTTTGGGTTTGTGAGAAGATGCGCCCTGTACAATCTGTCATGAGCGTGTGTGTTAAATAGAGCAGAGGAGCTACAGATGTTGTGTTTGCTTCTGTTTGTAGGTATGTACCCTCTGCGCTCTATTAATAACAGGCTGGCGGAGATAATAGGTGCATGTTATAGCAATAAAGGCTACATCAACGAGGTGGCTGCCGTGTATTCGCCTTACTCCTCCAAGTCTGAAAAGCTGTGCGACAGCAGCGGCAATCAGGTGAGAAAACGTGCGTCTGTCACAGATGGAGAGAGACAAAAATATTGTCAGTGAGTCAGTAATTTAACCAGTGAGGTTCTGCTTTTGTTTCTGTTGTGCTCCATCAGAATGACGTGTTGAACAAATACAAGTGTGGGGCTGAGCACCTGACCACCCCTCTGGCTAGCAAGGCTGAGTTCGCCTTAACAGCTGAGCCCTCGCTGGTCCGGAAGGGTCACATGACCGCCGTGGCTGTGGCTGTGGAGCAGGGACACGCTGTGGCGTTCCTGGGCACCACCACCGGAGAGGTAACCCACTGACTTCTCCATTATAAGCAGGGGTTAATTTGTCCTGGGAGGGGTCACATGCCCGCCGTGGCTGTGGCTGTGGAGCAGGGACACGCTGTGGCGTTCCTGGGCACCACCACCGGAGAGGTAACCCACTGACTTCTCCATTATAAGCAGGGATTAATTTGTCCTGGAACAAGCCAGATCCTGACCTGGTGCCTCATTTACATATGAAAGAAACTGATTATATGTAAAAAGCCCAAAATCTAAAAGTTTTGGTACAACTGCTCTTTTACAACAGAATATTAGACCACCTCTCCCCACATTAACACACCGGATCCGTCATCAGATGATATTCCAGGACTCAATGTAGAGATTAAGCCCTGGTTATCAGCATGTGCTTTCCCTTTTCTGCTCGTTGCTTTTTCTTTTGTTTAATTAGTACTTTTGTTTGTCTTCTTTTTCCTGCACCGTGTGTATCAGTCAAGTTTTTTGTTTGTCCTTTGCAGTTAGACAAAGTTTTCTAATTAATTTTGTGTCTAGCATGAACAGTAATTGAAAATTCATCCCTACACCTGTTGTCAGAAACGGCACAAAACTTTAAAGCGGTCACCTTTTTTCTTCCCGTCTGTTCTGTATCCTCTGGTGTAAATTCATATCCTGGACTGAAAAGCAGCTTTCGTTGAGTGGCAGAGAGGAAGTCCATCATGCAGGGCGGCGTCTGAATGTAAATGTGAGTTAATGCAGCTTCTATGTTGTCGCAGGTGCTGAAGGTGCACCTGTCTGACCATCCTGAGGTGTACGGGCGAGTGCCTGGCGACGTCACAGGCGGCAAGGTCAACAAGAACCTGCTGTTCGATTCCAGCTTCCAAAACCTGTACATCACCACGGAGAAGATGGTGAGGCTGGTTCAGACACTGAGCGATTGATCATTCTCTCCAGTAAATCCATTTCTCTCTGCTGCCATCCATCTAACTTTCCACAGAACGAAGGTCATGGGTTTACTTCTGCTTTTTAATTTCATCCATCAGGTCAGAGCCTTGATGAGTGTTTCCTTTATTCCGTCTGTCTTATCTGGTCATTATTTATTCGTTAGACTAACACCACACATCTGTCTAAATTACCACACAGAAGTCACTCGTTGATTTATTCCCTTTGTTTTCCTCTGCTTTTTCTCTTCATTGCCTTTCTTTCCTTTGTCCTTTCATCTTTCCACCGCCATTGTTCTCAAGTTGAAACCAGTGTTATTGATCTAGAAATGAATTAATTAGATTCCACTTCACTTTGATCAAGTCAAGTGACGATAGTACGGCTTGTTCCAGCTGCTCATTTACACTTATGAGACCAACCTCTTTGTGTCAGAGAGGAAAATGAATTCCAGTCGGTTTGAAGAAGTACTCCACTAAAACTAGAAACTCTTTCTTTGGGAAGGACAGTTGCAAATGGTATTAAGTGATGTACATAAGGGATTTGTTTATGTTTTCATGTCACAGCCGCAGCGCATCAAACCCCCAAAAGCAAATCCACCCATGATCCAGGCTCTTCCAGGAAGTGCTTATAGCTAATTCGGCTGATTTTTATTGGTGGCACTTTGGCAAAGTATAAACAGATATAATCTAAAACAACAGGGCTCCAAAGAGAACAGCTGTCGCTTCCTGCTGCATAACGGCAGGTGTGATGAGTCGTATTGGTTCCCTGTATATGCTGCATGCTTCCATCAGATTAGTTTCGACTTTCTCCATTTTCACACAAAGTCAAATTTTACACTGAGCTGATAAAGAAGTAGAAGGAAAAAAAACTCCCTTTTGAAATAAAAGGTTGAGGCTTTAAATGACAAGAGCAGCAACCAGTTCACTGGTGGTGTAACCACTGATCAACACTCTGCACCTGCCTCCTGTACAGAAATAGATTCAGGCTAAATGGGGCTGGGGGGGAATGTTAATATTAGCATTAAAATGTAGGGATTGATTAGTCCTAATTGAACTCACCTTTTGCCCTTAAGCTCCTGCATTGTTCACAATAACAACTCCTTCACAATAAAAGCCTGTCATATGTATGCAGATCACCAAGGTTCCGGTCCAGGCCTGCCAGCTGAAGACAGACTGCCACTCCTGTATCTCTATGAAGGATCCATACTGCGGCTGGTGTGTCCTGGAGGGAAAGTGAGTCGCTATGTGTGTGTCTGTGTGTAACGGTGACGGCGCACTTGTTTTTGTGAGCACATGATAAAACTGCAGAAATTAAAACAAACTTTGTGCTTTGCTCAGATTGAAAAGCCAATCATTTAAACCAAAATACAACAACGTGCCATGGAAACGGTGAATAAAATCATAACGTACATGGACAAAAAAGTTCTACACACACTGATGTAAGATTGGAGCTACCAGTCAATTCTAGTCTCATGTATTAATTATACAGTGATGATTGTGTAGAACACAGTGGCGGGCCATGCATTTGGTACCTGGGCCTTCAGTGGAGACTTAGACTGTTTATATTGTACAAGTTTTTGTGAGCGCACCCATTTTGTTTTTAGCGGGAATGTCTGAGTTCTGTTGGGGTCGTCACACTTGAAGAGTGTAGACGCGTGTTATTCTTTGTTCCAATAAAATATGCTAAGAGAGCTAAAAGATATTATTGCCTCCGTCAAATTATTTCCCGAGTTCAACGCTGATGAAGCTGCAAAGCTCAACACAGTCGTCGGTGGATATGAGAGCATTTCCAACAGTAGCCTAGTAATGTTACAAAAATAGCATCATTTAATGCAGTGGTCCCCAACCTTTATATCACTGCGGACCGGTCAACGCTTGACAATCTTACCGCGGCCCGGGGGGGGGACGTAGATTGTTTATATTGTTAATATAATAATAAACATGAATCCACTGTGTTGAAATTTTTAACTCCCCATAAAGCTAAATCCATGGGAGCCCTGAACTTGTTTCTCTGCAACGAGATGGTCCCATCTGGGGGTAATAGGAGACAATGACACCCGAAGTGTGTCGCTTATGTTCAGTCTACTCCGTTGTTTTGTTTGCTTCACACAGATAGGATGTCGGAAATGGCAACAGGGTTTTCAGTGCTGTGGTGGCGATCTCAGGGTATTCTGTCATGACTTTAATCCAGAACACCGACAGAGTTGTTGTCTCGAACATACTTTTAAGGCCGCCGTCATTTGCGATCTCCAGCAGTTGATCTTCTTGTTGCACAGACCTGCTGGATTCACCTGGTTTGTTGACAAATGGGTTGCGGATCCATTCCTTGGCCGTTCGTGGGTCCTTTGTGGTTGGGAAGTAGCGCTCGAACTCTTTTATAAGAAAAGACCGGTGATCGTGCACCAGCTGGGAGAATGAAGGCTCAGGCTCAGTCTCACCCAAAATCCCCGCTAATGTTTGAAACATGTCCAAAATGCCTCTGTTGACGCGCCGTCCCCACAAATCCAGTTTGGCTTTAAATGCAGCTACTTTATCTGCCAACTTGAAGACAGTTGTCATTTTCCCCTGAAGTGACAGATTGACGTTATTAGGATCGCAATGAATGACGGCATGTATGAGCCATGATTGATGTGCCTTGATGTGAGCTTGATTACATTGTTTGAGATTTTCTGCTACTGTGTAAAGGGAATGCTTCTGTTAAAAAGTACCTTATTTGTTTAAATTGTTTGCAAACCAAATGTTATTGCACTTTTGTTCATATAGTAGTACTTTTAAACAAGTGCACAATACACTACTTTTGAATTCATTATTGAATGCTGCTCATATCAATGCAGTTAACGCGATTAAGGATTTTAATTGTTGCCCAGCACTACTAGTTATATGTACATTGTAAAGAAACTAGGAAAAAATGTAATCAATCCATTGAAGGTTCCTGCTTCCCAATTTGCTGACTGCTGTGTTGTTTCCAACTGACTGGTGAAACACACTCGTGGGCTGCGGTGGCTCAGGAGGTAGAGCAGGTTGTCGCTCTCTGTAGGGGTGGCGGTTCGATCTGCGGATTCTCTGGTCCACGTCCCACACTGTTCTTGGCAAGACACTGAACCAAGTCAAACTTCTGAAAATATTTCATGTGTTTGATATTATCACCCACAGATGCACAAGGAAGCAGGAGTGTGGCAGGTCGACGGAGGAGAACACGTGGCTGTGGTCCCCCAAGCAGCAGTGTGTTGAGATCCAGGCTTTCAACCCTCCGAACCTGAGCTGCAGGAAGACACAGCAGGTAGGGGAGAGACAGCACAGATGTGAGCAATCCTGGTTGTTTCTCTGTGGAGCGAAATCCGCCCTGAGCTAAAGTTCACCTATTGCTGAGCTCTGCTTAATTTAAACCAGTCAAACTCTCACAGAGTTTGAGGACTCAGCAGCATTTAAGACAGCTTCTTAACCCCTTACATGGACCTCCAGGCGAAGCCAAGACAGGCAAGAATCTGGATCGGAGCCAGATGAACCTACATGTACAATGTGTTGTTTGTGCTGACAGACCCTTTGACCCTCCGCTTTGTGGTTTGCAACCTGATGAAAGAAAGACAAAGTCACACCCAGAAACTGCTGACGACATTTCACTGAATCACATATGAGCAACAACACCAAGAGTTACTGGTAAAACACACTGGGAGCGTTTTTGGAAGCGTCTCACGCTGCAGATAGAATTCCATTATATCAAATGAGTCAATACACACTGAATTTTTTACGCTTCATGTCTTTTTTTCCCCTCTGCTACGTTTAGTGAAGCGTAATCTCCACAGTCGGCTGTTTAAATCACAAAAAAATGCTGCAATTTTCTGTATCTGTTACGACTGATCAGGCTGCTTGAGTTTCACTTTCTTCCTCTGTAATGAGCCGGGGTAAATCAATAAAATCAATAAATCCACGTTCATTACATTTAACCTCAACTGAATAAACAACTCTGTTGTATCATTAAAACACATATGAAGCCATAAAACATACTGTTGAAAAAGGCTGAATCTTTAGGGATTTTGAATGAAGTTTTCTTACTTTTACTTCTGGTTTGACTTCAGCTCTCTATGGGTTTATTCACATGTTACCAAACAAACTAACAACCCTAAAGGATTTGATTTAGATGGTTATGGATATAGATAGTTTTAGCTTGTTTATGACCAAAGTGCAGTTTTAAAGGCTTTCTCTTCCAAAAACTCGATATTACAATGATCATAGCCAACAGCGTGAAAGTAACGTTGAGCAGGCTCATTTCTGTAACAACAATGTGAAGGTTCGTCATGCTTTGTTGAACAGGACAGAGGCGCCATTTTGGGAGAAACACGCTGTATTTACCTGCATATGTTCTTGTTTAATTTGACTAAAAAGTTGCTTAAATCGTTTAGATCTCTCTTCACTGACTGTGCTCATTCAGAATGGAAAACCTTAGCTGACTGTAGCTAACTCATAACGGACCTAGAGATCCCATCGATGAGAGCAACAGACTGAAACATGACTCTGCACCCTGATCTCAGCTCTCGGTTTGGGAGCTAACACTAGCTAGCGGCTGGCAGCAGATAACACAAACCCTGCAGATGAATTTCTGTCCTGTCTGTGCTCAAACTGAACACTAAAGAGGACGTCTTGACGTAGATGAAGCACCTGCTACTGTATGTAGCTGTATGGGAGAGTATTTATTGTTTAAATGAACTTATAGATGTATGTACTGTATTTCTATGATGGGTAATGAGCTTGATGCTCCCAAAATGGTGCATTTACCCAAAATGCAACACGATGCCACAACAGCTTCACAATCTGTATAAAATCCCAAATCAAACTGCTGTGGCAGCCATTTTAGAGACTGGAGAGCAGCAGAGGATCCCGTGGTGCTTTGCTCTGTCAAAACCTTGTGAATTAATGAGGAACTGATCAAAGAAACAAAGACAAAAGACACGTCCTCCTTCAGATTGTACGACACCGGACTGACCTTCGCACCATCATACCTTTCTGCTCCTAGAATACCTAAAATGTTATCAGCTTTTGTCCTGCACATACAGGCATCTGTGCACAAGATGAGATACCCACTGTTTATTCATTATAGTTTGACTGGAATGATGGTTTTAAAAGAGCTTCAGCAGTCACATGATAAGAAGCTTGGATGGAATAAAAAACCAAACCTGTTCAGGTCGATCCAAGGACAGAAGTGTGTTCTGTGTGTAGATGTAACAGTCACATAGTCGTCCTCATCAGACATGATGAGGCAACAAAGTAAAATTATGGATGTGGGATGATTATAATCAGGTCAGGTTATAAAAAAAACAATATGCAAATAGAAGTAGGTGGTTGAAGCCTTTCAAAGTACAAAGTACTTTTGTTTGGTTATCTCAGGAGCAGTTTTTCACTCCGGTTAAAGTTTCAAGTCCAGAGAAAGTTTAAAGTCTTGCTTACAAATCCACATCGTCATAAATTACGCAGTGTGTAGTTTTTTTTTTTTGTTTTTTTTTACCCATTAGCTTTCACTGTACATTTTCTAGAGCTGCCTGATGTTTTATTGTTCATGGATGTTGCCAATTAAAACCTTTACCATTTAAAGCTGCACTAATCAGTGTGTCAGGTGTTACCAGAGAACTGACACAAACTCTGCCTTTTCTCTCAGCTCTGTGAAGCTTTATAGTGTCTTCCAGGTCGTTGTTTTGATTTTACAGCCTGAAAATTTACTATCTTGGTTCAGCCTGAGAGCTTTCATCAGCAGCAGCTGTTTCCAGGGAAAAATTTCTAATAACCGCCTGTGTAATTCGATTTCATTACCTCCAAATGCTTTGTGAGGATGAGCTGCTCCTTACGTTTGACCTCAGCAAATACCGTAACTTCATTCAGGGCCCAGATAAATGAATGTGCTGCATCTTAATTACGGAGTCTGGGACTCTCGTCTGTGGTGTAGCCCCTGGTCTGTGATTTTGATAGGAGAACACAGTTGGACTTTGGCTTTAAAAAAACATTCTTTTAAAAAGTCTCTGGTGAGTTTATTCAGCAACTTCTCTAGTCTGAGAGTTCCCAAAGATCAAAAGTCTGAAATTAAAACTTCAGCAGCAAAATTAATGCTGTTGAGGTCAGTGAGGAGTAATGAGGAGCTGGCGTTTGAGCAGCGCAGTTGAATAGTAATTATTACTGCACATACACGGACAAATGACCCACATCCCTGCATGTGTGCTCAGACGTATACAATTAGTTAGGGTCAGCTGGATGTAGTTCTTATTTTTGCTCATTAACCAACACAAGATTGTAAGCTAATCTTTGGCAGTACTGGATTTATCGGACATTTGCAGCAGTGTGATCAAGTATCTTGTCAAGTAATTTATTTCACTGACCAAAACTAGAATTTAGATAATCCCATCATTTTTTAAAATCTATAAACATTTGGAGTTCTAGAAAATGTACAATACTGCATATTGGTATTGTCTTATGAAGCCACCGTAGATGCACTGAGGATTCGTGGTAATTATCTGTTTGTTGTGGCCAGTACTGATACAGTAAACAGTAATAATACTTTTGGAGATGCAGAAATGTGAAGAGTATGTTAAAGGCTATATTTTTGGATTGACACGTTTATTTCTCTAATGCAAACCAGCATCCACAGAATAGAGCGCATCTGCTCATTGCATGGATATTAATGTTGATGCTATTCCTGATATTGCGATAGAAAACTGTCTTGACACCGTTGTTGGACTGTGAACGTGTCTGCCAAGGTTTTGGTTAGTTCGCTAGTATAACTGCGTTCAGGTCACAGAATTTGGAAATGACATAGTGGATTCTCCATTGTGGACTTTTACAGCTGTTGTGTGGCAGCATTTCAGTCTTCCCGTTTAGAGAAATGACACAGACGGAAGAGAAACTGCCAAACAATTTGCAAATCGCACAGGACGAAGGCGATACAAGCCCACTTTAAGACTGAGACAGTCGTAGACACAGAAACCGTCCGGGACACTGTGCGCCACACATTACCAGAGATGGGTAAACAAACCGGGCCCACAACTGCTAAACCAACCAACTAGTAACCACCATTAAAGTCTTTTCTCCAAAAAAAGTACACCACAATGTCTGAAAAACACCTCCATTAGAATGCAAATCTCATCTTTATGTGGCTTCTCCCAGTGTGACATCTTCCTCCCGTCATCACAGTACTGCGCCAAGCAGCAGTGCGCCTACTACTGCCCCCAGTGGTCCGGATGGTAACCATTTCACCCGTTTTCGTGCTGAGAACCCGACCACCAGACAAAGAAGATTAAACCTGGGGGGCTCTAAAACACCACTGTGACTCGTTTTGTTTACAAGATCCATTTATCTCATTTCATAAAAGGACTGCTACTGGCTGCTGCATTATCTTTTATGTACATTATTAAAAACATTGATTACTTAAGGGGCATTTTTCATATTTTTCTTCACTTGATAAATATTATATAACGTACTTCCTATTGTGTCAATATTGTACTGTGAATTGTTATCATTACATTCATTAATAATGAAGGCCTTATCTCTTTACTGACCAGAGAATGTACAGGCTACAAAATCCATTAGAATAATTAGACATCATCTTGGACCTAAAGCCTTGGAAGAGGTGCAGATTTATCCTCCACCCCTCGCATGGAGATGAGAGATATATCAGATGTTGGCTACGTAAACAGAACTTCTTAAGGGGATAAACTCAGAAATAAATGACGCATCTCATCCTTTAATAATGCACATACATACATATAATTATCTTCAGCAGTCTGCTACACCCAGGCTCATTCTGTACTTGCACGCAGACAACACGCCGCCCCCCAGGTCTACCTCTGACTCACACACATCTTATTTCACTGCAGCCAGAAGAGGTGTGAGGTGAAAAATAATGACTTCTGTGTTCTCACATTTCTTCTCTCCCCCCTCGACATTCTGCTCCTTCTCCCTCCTTGTTCTGCTCCTTCATTTCTCCTTCCTTCCTACTCTCTTTTTTGTTATGTTCCACCTCCAGGTTGACATCAGCATACCCACCCTGCCCAGACTGGGGCTGTCTGATCAACTGGAGTGTGTTTTCGGCTCTTTCGTCAGTGGAGCCGTGGTGACCTTTGACAGTCATGCTCATGCGCAGGTCACCTGTTCGATGCCCGGCCCTGTGGACATCCCGCCCACCCCTGAGCAGCAGGGTGAGCGGACACACAGAGAAGCATTTCTTCATCATGTGGGCTTTCTTGTGGATTCATTTTGGACTGTTAGTTCCCTGAGCTGTGTCTGGCAGGCAGCCTTTCATCCTTCATCACCTTCTTCATATAATACAAACAACTGATTTTACGTTGCTACTGTTGGTTTACAAAGACAAAATGATCAAATCATTTAGCTGTATTTGTTTAGATGCTTTTGTGTTTTAAGAAGCTTTTTCACTGTTAACAGCTGGAGCAAGAAGCTGAATAACTTTTAGATACATTCTGATATAAATTTAAGCAGATTAAACGTATTCATCTTAGCTTATTGGTATTCTTTAGTAAAATACATAAAATTCCAAAATGATGAGCTTTTTGGATAATACTGGCAGCCTATCTCTTTTTTTTTTTTGAGAGTAAAATAATAGCATCACTACCGCTCTTATGTCTGTACAATAAAAAAATGTTTAGCTGAAAATGTGAAATCAGTATCATTTAATTCTTGGCAAGAATGCAAATAATTTCCAAAACTATTCCTTTAAGTATTATGGTTCTCAATCTGAGAGGACGCACAGCCTGTGGGACTAAACTCAGGGAACAAGGTGTTTTTCACAACATCACAGATGCTCTTTAGTATCAGTTTTATTGTATTTCTTTATTTTGTCTCTTGCTTTATCCTTGTATCTGTGTTTGTGTGTGTTCAGACTATGTGTCCGTCCCAGTCAAGGTTCTGGTAAACAGCGCCGTCGAGGTGACATCTGGAGAGTATCACTTCTACAACTGTGCTGCCACAGTCAGGAAGAATCAAAACACACCGTAAGAACCACCACCACACACACACACTGACACAGTGCATTCTTGAACTTTGCCGTGTCGTATTGTTTCTGACATACCGGCATAATTCCACTCCATTCTGCAGTATTGACATTATGTGTAATGATGTGTTTGCATATGCGCCGTAACTTGGAATCTGACATGCGCCTACAAACAGCACAAGCGTGATGGAAGGCAAAGTTCTCCTGTTGGAGGAGTTCATTCTGTCATTTGGAAATGGTTTATCTACAAGAGATCAGATGTGAATCAAACATCTGTGATCTGCAAATTATTTTTACCTGTGATAAAAGAAGTAAATGCTGCAACAAACTAACAGAGGTGTTGGTTTTACTGAGCCAAAGACACAACAAAAGGAGGGAACTGCTGCTCCTTCATGTTGAAAGGAGCCAACTGAGGTGGTTCAGGCACTGGATTAGGATGCTTCCCATGTGCCCTCCACTGGAGCTCTTCTGGGTTTGCTCAACCAGTAGGTGGCTCAGGGGCAGACCCAGAAGACGCTGGAGAGATAGCATATCTCATCTAGCCTTGGAACACCTGCGGTCCCGCAGGAAGACTGGGGAAGGGCACGTCAGGGCGGCCATGTTGGACCTGCTGCACCCACAACTGTTTTCACACGACCACAGAAATCCATGTGCCCGCACACACACAGTATTTTGTGTTTCAGGTGCATCGCGTGTGTGACCAGTGAGTGGGGCTGTCAGTGGAACGCTAAGGATCACAGCTGCAGTGACAGTGAAGATGCAGTGAGTGGAGATCACATTGTCAAACCACAGCAGGTAGGTGGCAGAATCACTCCACGGTTGAATTGTTGAGTCATTATTTGTTTGTGATTATATTGTTGTAAGCTCAATATATTGGAGTTTTGAACTTTTGAAGATGACACTTTGGGCTTTTGAAAACTGTGGTTTTCACCTTTTTCTGAAAGTGTAAAATTGACCAAATAGTTAATTGAGAATATAATCGTCAAATTGATCAAAAATAAAAATCACTGTCAGTTTCAACCTTAAATCAAAGAGACTAAAACTGTCACTGATTCAAGAAGAGTTTTCCAAAGAGTCTTATTTTACATGGTAACCGTCTGATACTGGAGCCTGTGGGTTGAATGCTCTGTAGCTTTTCTGCAGGTTCCCCACCAAACCTCATCGATGACATTGTTAGTTTTGGGTGCTAAGTTAGAGGTTTGTTAGTTGAGGTTGGAATTAAATGTTGAGCATATTCCAATGGTTCTATCTTTTGCAGGATTACTAAATTACCTTATATTCTGATTCAGGTTACAGCATAAATCAAGACAGATAGCATGCAAACACGAACAGCACAAAACTAATTCAAAGCTAAATTCAATGTCTAAAGCTTTTGAAGGAAAATGGTTTTGTTAATCATATTTCTTCTCTCTCTCTGTGGCAAAGCCTGACAGCTGTCCTCAGTTCGAGTCCCCAGAGCCGTTGTTAATCCCCGTCGGCTACAAGATCCCCATCACCTTCCAGGGAAGAAACCTGGACATCTACAGGGTGAGAGCAGCCAGACTCGCACATTAACCTGCCAACAAACATCTGTTCTTCATTTCTGACAGCGTCTTTCCTCTGTGTGCACGTCCGCAGGGCCATAGGTTTGCCATCGGGACGGAGCTGATGAAGCACACAGAGGAGGAGGTCACCCAGGAGCAGGGGTCAAGGTTCAAATTCACAGGTTACGAGGTCAGTATCAAGGAGGGGACGCACCTACGGACCAGCCTCTGCAGCTCATAAGGATCATGAAGGATCCTTCAGTTTGACTAGAACATAACAAAATCGTTTTAAAATCCAGATGTACTCTAAAACCTTAAAACGAACTTCAGATAACGCGATGCTAAGAATTCCTGAATAGTTAGCAGTAAAACAGACAATCCTTCAATATGTTTTATTCTTTTTTTTGTTTGTGTCTCTGCACATTGTAACCAAGTTAAAGAAGCACACAGTTATGATTCTTCAGTTAAATAAGAGGCCGAGGCCCTAAATAACCATTGTACCGAATTGATCCAAACCTGTTTCAGTAGTTGTTTTCCCTTTTGACCTAATTTTATCCTATTATTAAAATTAACTGTAATCATTGATTCTAAAGTTCCCAAACTTTCCAGCTAACGAGCTGGTGTTTGGCTGTCGGTTGCTAGGCCTGGCACCAGCTATAAGGGAGACAGAGGAAGTTATTAAGCACCTGCTCGCTATGTTTGTTTCTAAGGAAAAAAATATAGGAAACGGTGGGGTATGCAAGTGAAGTATCATTCATAGACAGATGTCAGTTTCCATCAGAGTCTAAAACTAACAGAGGGCCGGGAGGAAGGCATTAGTGAACTGAGGAGCCAGTCACTGTGTCTGCACAGCAACCCATTAGTTACGAACGCCGCCATGTGCCGTAGCAGGGAGTGTGCCGTTAATGGTAATTAGACAATTAGTGAATCATTAGTGGTTAATTTGTGACTCAGAAAATGTTTCAAGCTCCGTTCTAGTTCTGTTTGTTGTGTAGTTGATTTTAGCATCATGAATTTATATTAAAGCTGTTCATTTATTTGTCTTTGAGTTTCATCCTGGAGCTCACGCTGTTTATTCAGACGCCCATGTCGGTCTGAAGGCGCCCCCTAATGGAGCACAAACAGCATCTTTACTTTCTCTGAACCCCCCAGTTGCTTGGTGTGTGTGTCTGTTACACACTCAGCCTTTCCTCTGTTCCACTGATCCTCACCTCCTGCTGAGTCTAATGCTGCCATATGCAGTTACAGAGTGTGTCACTGCTGCTTCTCCTTTCATTATCTCCTGCATTTCTCTCCACATTTTTTTCTTCTTCTCTGGTTATTTTTTCACTCTTTCTCCTCCCGCACACGCATGAATCCTGAAGAAAAGCTCGCTTGATTCATGAAGTGTGTGCTGACCTCCACAGTTGGATAGATGCAGGGAATTTACGTTGAACGTTGGTGTGAACGTTTGGTTCTCTGGCAATGCAACCCTGATGGTGTGTGTGTGTGTGTGTGTGTGTGTGTGTTCAGTTCACCTATGACCAGCAGCAGGAGGTGAACATATCCTTCCATATCAAAGACAGAGACAATGAGAGGAAGATTGACAGCACCCTGACAGGTTGGTGCATCGCTTACACAAACACACACATGCACTCACAGTCTCACACAAATCCACATAAAGTGTGAAAGTGCAGTTATCACACTTTCACTTTCCCTCTCACTTACCTCCAATTCAGTTCCAGCTGAGTCATGTCAGTTAGCTCTAACCTCTCGTCTTCTCCTCCCCCTCCTCCATCCACCTCCCTGACAGTCGTGCTGTATAACTGCTTTTTGGGAAGAGAAGACTGCAGTCTGTGTAAACACGCCGACACCAAGTACCAGTGTGTTTGGTGCGAGGCTTCACACATGTGTGTTTACCAGGGACTCTGCCCATCACCGCAGCCGGCACAGTGCCCCAACCCCGAGATCGTCAATGTGAGTCAAAAAACATGACACCGTCCGCTGATATGTGCCTTTAGCTCCATGTTAGCTTTGTGTTGTGCTGTGCTTGAGCCGGGATGTGTGGCATGTGTCTTTACACACACGGGACACGTAACATTGCTGCTGCATCAGTCTGTCACGGCGTCTTTCGGACACAGGTCGCTTTTACGTTAATGTTCCTCACAGCTTCATTCTGCCATGAAGCCAACTGCAAGTCTTCAAAAGGTTTTTGGCAACACTTTTTTGTAGGTCCTGTATTTTTCAGCCAATGTTCTGAAAACTTTCCTCACAAGTTTCAAAAAAAGAGCTGTAAATTACTAGGACATCGCCAAGAAGTGTGGGCACATAGTGTGGCTGTAGCACCTAACACTTTCACCATCTTCCATATGATTAGTGCCAAATTGCACAAGACTTTCTTCCAAATATTGTTGCAGTTTACAGCTAAACACAGGCCACGTTTATGAAATGAAGAAGCTGGTTTTTGTAAATTAGCTAAAAAAAATATGAGCCCTGTAAAACAAAGTATTTCTCCAAGGTTTTTGAAATAAAGACCACCTCTGTAGACACTGGAGGAACTCATGACACTGTGTTGATAGATAAATAAATGTGCCACAGGCAGTCGGACCCAGCTCAGGAGATAACATCCATCACATTAAAGCAAAGTGTCATGACGTATACAAAAGATTCTTGAGTTTTCTCAAGTTGTGAAAATTAGAGACAAACTCGTGTGTTGTACCCAGAGAGTCACTGTTTCTAGTTGGATATTGTAACGTCCTCAGTGACGCTGAGCGATTATTATAACAGCAGACTCCATCTCAGTCTCCGTCAGTGTCACTGGCTGTGGTCGGACCTTTTAAAGTTCTGATCCCGTAATAGTGAAGTGCACTTTCAATCTACTTCATCAAACAAGCTGCGTGTCTTAGTCGGTGTTCTCTGTCTGCAGATCATCCCTCGCTTTGGCCCTCTGAACGGCCGCATCGCGGTGACCATCAAAGGCTCCAATATGGGAATAAAGAAGGAGGATGTGAAGAAGATCACAGTGGCCGGTGTGGACTGTGTTCACCAGGAGGACAGATACTCGGTCTCTACCAGGTAATCGAAGAGAGGGACAGCAGAGACATCGCCCAGCTGTTGTCTGTGAAGCTCTTTACATGAACCTGTGACAGCCTGCTGCCACTGATCAATAGCTAGAGAGAAGTGAATGTCAACTCTTTCTCTGGGACTGAACAGAAGCACACGTAGCTTCTATGAAGGCTAAATATCAGAAGTGTGGCTTGTTATCTGTTGTTTGTTGATTTCATCATGATATGAGTGACATTGTGCAAAAGCTTCAAAGTGAACGCGGTAGATTTACATATGAAGGCTTCACGTGCTTGTTTTTAATCAAAGGTCTGACGGCTTTTCATGGGCAAAATGATAAAGTAGGCGGATGTCAGGCCAGACTTGCAGGATTTAGAGGCGTGCAGCATTTTGACTTTGGACCAGACGAGGAGGTAACACCACGAACACATAGTTTTGGATCCTTTGCTATTTTAATAGAAAGAAATTTCTCATGTCCTGTTTGAACGGAGGACTAGATGCTGTTGTTTCTGGCACTTTCTCACATTGTACAAAACTGGATGCCATGTCTGGTTGTCAGTAATTAACGATTTTACCAGTAGATGATGGTGCTTATCACGGGTTTTATGTGTTTCCCGCATTTTTATGTGAATTGATGTTGTAGATTTTGGGCAGTTTATGAAAGAGAGTTGTACCTTTGTGGACAGTGAGGTTGAAGTTAACATAAGTTCATTCCAGTATTAATTTCATTAACAAACTGTCACAAAAAATAATCACTATCACCTATTTTCCAGGACAAAAACGAAACTAAAATGAAATAAAAAGTTGCCTTTGATAATGAGAACTATGATGAAATGTTGTCAATACATAAAAAGTAAACAATAATGTGAAGGATGGATGAATGGACATGAAGAAACTTAACAATCTGCCACATTTGTGGAATCACAAACTGCAGGTGCTGCTCAGTAAAACTGTTTCCTTCACCTCTTCTCTTGTTCAGGAGTTGAATCAGCCACTTGATGTGTTTCACTACCGGCTTACTTTCAGTAATATCTGTCTTTTGTGTTGCTGTCGACCATAAATTACCTCTAAATGTTCACTGCAGAGATTCACAGTTGTAATGTTGTCCGACATTTTAGCGTCACCTCTCAAACTGAACCCGATGAAGAGGAGTTTAGTACAAATGCCTGTCCAACTTCTGCAGAGCAGAGCAACACAAACCTCATGATAGGCAGGAACAACACATGTAACCATGGTAACTGTGCACAACTAGGACAAAGAAGATACAGTACATATAAAACATGACAATAGCTAAACTAAAACTAATAAAAATCAAAAGACTAAAATGTGACGAACTAATATATATTTCCATCAAAAGTCTAAAACAAAATCAAAGTCAGGCGTCAAAATAACTGATTCATTTCCCTGAAACTTGACATCTTGACATGAGGCCAGACACTGAAGTTTCAGCCATGTCAGTCTCAGGAAGAGAAGTGGAAAGAAGTCCATGCAATGCTGCTTGATTGAAGTAATGTTTGATTAATTGATTGTTTTGTGGTTTTCTTCTACAGTTGTAACTTGTAATTAGTATTCTGGACTGTTTTTGCCCAAACAGCTGAGCTGAAGTTTTCCTTGGGTTGTGCACACACTGCCTTCAGTACAGAGCATTGTTATCTAATCTCTTGCTGTCTTTCCGTCCACAGCGTGGTGTGTGAGATCGGCCCGGCGAGGCGAGCTCCACCAAGCGACCTCCCCTTTGAGCCGACCAACAGTGGACCCGTGGAGATGGAGCTAGAAGGGGGGAGGAGAGGGACGTCTCAGGTCATTTTCACCTATCGGGTAGGTCTGACCCCAGACACAGGGATGAGATCTTACAGAACCAGGTCTTCAAATTATAATACAACATTTAAGTTTCCATGTCTACTTTCCTCACCTTCACATTGACACGCACGTCTTTCCAGTGAGGGGAGGAGCGGAAACTATTTTACTGTTTTCTCTGTGTTTTTATATTGACAAACCTCGACAGTTTTTCACAGCCTTGTCCAGCTCCAAGAATTCTTAACATTTTGTCTGTAAATTCCATTTTATTTTCAAATCATCTCCTGAAATGTTTTGTGGAGTGAACCATAAGATTTGGCAACAAAAAACAAACAGTTCAGCTTAAATGAAAAATTAAGTTTCACATAGTTTTCACTTGCTTTCAGACAGACCTGACCATGGATGGTGAAACCAGACCAGAGTCGAAGTTTAGTGCAGAAAATGTTCGGATCCAGATTTTCACTTTCAAACGTCATATCAGCGTGCATTATGTCAGGCCAGCATTAACTTGTCTGTGCTCAGTCAGTGATTGTGGGGGAAGATGCTCCACTCTGTAACACCGCTGTACAAACACAAGTGTGCAAACCTTCATTCATATTAAAGAATTTAAGCTGTTTCATAGTTTTGAACCAGGAACCAGGGTCTTTGTTTCAAGTCAGCAGCTGTTATTTCACTATATCAGCTACAAGTATGTCTATATAGCACTTTTCTAAACCAAAGTTACAAGGTGCGGCACAATAAAAGGAAATCAGAAAGTACAATAATAATAACAAACATTAAATCAAGTAAACAACATTAAATAAAATCAAATAAAACATGCAAAAGCTTAAAGCAAGTAAACAGGCACACAAATGCCCTGGTCAGAAGATCTACTGATCCACCTGGTAAACAACAGTGTGAAAGCACTCAAACATGCACAGCGCCAAACAGTGACAAGCTTTAAAAACCAATAATAAAATACTGAAGGTATTCCTGAAACAAACCAGAAGCCAATGAAGAGAAACCAGAGTCGGGGTCACATGTTCACGTTTTCCTGTGTTTGTCACAAAAGATGAGCAGGTGTGTTCTGGACCAGCTGAAGACGAGACAGAAGAAGAAGACTGGGACGATGTACGGTCTATTACAGTAGTCAGTCCGAGAAGTGATGAATGCATGGACTGCCTTTTCAAAGCCATTAAAGAGCCCGTGGCTGCTCATCTCCAGCCATTTAATGTTTAGTCGTAGGTATCTTTACATTAGCTTTGCGCCCCTCATAACTCCAAATAGTCTGTAGTTATTTCAGAATAATAAAACCAGAGAGCCTCTTCCTAAAAACAAGAGGATAGTTCATGAATGTGCACAACTCCTGCTGCCGGTGTCTAAATCTGTTTCCCCACTGAGATGTGGATCCTGAATCCTAACATTATCATAACCACAACACTGTCACTGACAGTCGCTTTGTTACTTAAAACAAGAAGCTTCAAAACATCGTTAAATCTTGAGACCTGCAGACACTGTGTACAACTCATTAAAAGCTTTATCACCAAGTCAAAGCACCAGGTGCCAGGGAATCCAGTCCCCAAAGAAGCTGCACACATTCACATTCTGGCTGTTTCTTCCCACAGAAGCAAACGTGATCAAAGTAAATAGGTTGTACCTGCTGTTCTCTTTTGTTTCTCTAACAAGGCTTAGTCATTTCTTCTAAATATTGTTTTCCACCTTCATAGTTCTAGTTTTTTTTTTCGTTGAGCTGATAAAAAGCTAATTAAAGCACACTGCTGAGACCAAAATAACTCATTTACTTCAGCAGCAAGCACGTCTGTGTGTGTGAACTCTGCAACAGGGTTTCAGCTTTGAATGGCTGCTTCCACTCAGTGAGCGTCGACTTGTTTTACTCTCACAACAGAAAAATGAAACCAAGGCTGTGGAAACACTGACAGGTTTACAGCTCGGCTAATGTTCATTTAAATGGGTATCAAGGGCAAAAACACTGTGTTAAAAGACATTTGCTGCTGGTAGTTTCCTGCTTCGGTGACATGTTCAGGTAATTTAAAGAGAGACTGCTGAGTAGTTTGATGACACCAGAGATGGTTCGTCATTCTCTGGTTTCAGCTTCTCAAAAGTGAGAATTTGTTGCTTTTCTTTGTTGTATATGATTGTAAACTGAATATTCTAGCACTTTAAAACAACTGGAAGTCGACCAAAGTGCATTACAGCGGTCAGATAAAGTAGTAGAGTAGAATATGTAGAAAACAAACTGAGTAGCCAAAATGAAATACAATAAGTATATAAACAGATTTGGAGTTAAAAGTAGGATACGTCAAAAAGAAAGTGTTAGGACACTAGTGGGAAGTAAAAGCCAATATCAACAAGTCTTTAGTTTAAAGTTAAAGCACCAGGTCTGCGACAGAGCGAATGTCAACTGGTGGAGAGTTCCACAGTCTGGGAGCATCCACAGAGGAGGCGCCATCACCCCATTGCCTCCATCTGGATCCGGGGACTGCTAAAAGAAGTTATCAGGTGGGGAGGGGGCCAGGCCATTAAAGGATTTAAAAGTAACCATTAAAATTTTTAGATCAATTCTATGATGGAAGCCAGTGAAGAGAGCAAAGAACGGGGGTTCTATGTTCACGCCTGGAGGTGTTAGTTAAAAGGAGAGCAACAGCTTTTTGTACCAGACCGGAGACGAGAAAGGAAAGATCGATTAGCTCCACCTTACAGTGCAGTAGTCTAATCTCGAACTGATAAAAGCATTGATTATCTTCTACAGATCCATTGAAACCATGAATTTTTAAATCTTTCTTTGTGTTTTCCTGCACTGAAGGTTAATCAACAATAAAAATAACAGCTGCCCTAAAGGAAAGAACAACATGTGACTTTAATGAAAGATTTAATTAACAAATGAGAACATATCAAAACAGTGTAGAGCAGGTACATCAGTAAGACCTGAGCTGTGAAAACCCTGTGTGGGTGGAACAGAGGCAGATTTCTAACTCTGCAGGCTTGGCGCTGGGATGAACACCTACACACAGTCATTTGATCCATCGGTGATATAAAACTATTGATTAGTGCAGCTGGTGGAAGTTGAGCTTGTTCTGTTTCTAATTGGCTCTTTTCCTTTTTTATGTCCTCAGAGTAGATTGATTAGTTCAAACTGCCATACGTTGTGTGTCTGCTAGTGACTCCCTGAGTTTGACTTTCTGTTTTCTTTATGCCAAGTGTCTCACAGACCAACCTCCTGAGCCTCTGTGGTCTGTGTACAGCTTCCAACCAGGCGGAGTTGTTACGAGCTTCTCTGTCTTTGGGGCTGTTTATTCCTGTGTTTGCAGCTCTCTGTTTCAGAACAGCGAGAACAAATGTGAAACACCAGCAAAACAAATGCTCAGACGCCTCTCACCAGCTGTACACCACACACTCGTGAAGGATTGTACCTCTTCATACTCTCTTTTCTTCCCCCCCCCCATACCTAAACAACCTCTAATAACTTCATTCTCGCACTGTGCTCGACTGCGGTGCCTTAATTCTCCAGACAGATTAACTTCTTCAATGTGTGTCCTCCAGTGTAGCTGAGAATTAATATCTCCTCTTGTTTTGTTCGTCATGCTGTCAGCTCAGTACAGAACCTTCCAGTACAAACAGGAAACCAACCAGCTGGTGTATTTCAGCACCCGCCGCTTCCATTCTCAATAAACACAAGCTCCCCCGTGGGGACGTTCCGCTGGCTTTTGTTTGTTGTGTTCCTACTTGGAGTTTGCTGCCTAAACACCACAGGGCTTAGCTATGTAGCTTTGGAGAATGTAAAGTATGTTTTGATGTGATCAGAGGGTTCAGACTTGCGGGACGGCGACCAGGACATGAACTCCGTTAAAGTTTTATGTTTTCTTTGTTCGTCTGCTTCAGTCATTTGGTTTGACTGATCTGAGCTTTTGTTTTCATTCTTGAATCGAGGTTATGTTCATGGCCAAGCCTCCCCCAGAAGATCCCCACTTTCAGAATGGGGGAAAATACTGCTTAGTTTACATTGTTTGCACTGTTAGTTGCTTGTTAATACTGCTGACTTTGTTATACTACACAGCCTTATGTTGGTTTACTGTTTACTTGGCCCTTACATGGGGATATGTACATGCACACTGAGAGCTGATGTACCAGAGTCAAATTCCTCATGTGTCCAACACATCTGGCCAATAAAGCTGATTCTGATTCTGAACCACCACAGCCTGTACTTAGAAGACATGACAGAGTTAGGCTTCTGTCCACTCTGAGATCTGTTCGTCACCTTTACCAGTACCTGCTGTTCTAGCTTGTGCACTAGCACAGGCTGCAACCACATCACTCCTCTTCTCTGTTCACCACACTAGCTGGGTTTCCATCCACATGTAGCACCTATTTTAACTGATTTAACCTTAAGAAGATTGTCCCCTCACAGTCTGATCGGGTGGTAATTTCCCAATGTACTGGTGTTTGCGTGACGGGGCCATAAATCCAACTGCCCATGTTGTACATGTATGTTGCTAAATGAGTTATTGGAACACATCAAATACTTTACACACATACAACGTATGAAAACCGTGTATATACTTTTTTGTGGATCTTCAACGCACAATTTAATCAAAATGGAAACTTTACCTGTTATTTTTGTTGTATATCCCACATTCAAAATAAAATGTTAATGCTAATGTGTTGTATAAAAGGATTTCTTTCACTTCTCATCACAGAAAAATCATCCATGTTGAGACACAGTGTAGATGAGATAAAATAAAACAGAGGTAGACAAAATAGTTTGATCAGAAGAAAAACAAAGCATGTTCATGCTTGTATTTGAGATATTACATGCTTTACATTTTAGGCTTTTTAGCTACCATTGCCATCCATTTTGTTTACGATCTATCCTGAAGTCAGACTTGACTTCATGAACTCCTCGTTTCCTCAATCACAAAAGCAAGTAGTCATGTTTTTTGTTTGTTTTTGTTTTTTGGCCTTCTTCAAAATTGAAGTCATGAAATTAGCGTTATTGTGTATTTTGTAGTAATGTGCTCTGTTTTCTGTCCAGGACCCCAAAGTGGTGGCCGTCAACCCAGTGAAGGGTCCGGCAGCTGGAGGAACCGTGATCACCATCAGTGGAGAAGACCTGGACACGGCGACTAAAGAAGACGTCACCGTCACCGTGGGTGGTGTTCCTTGTGAAGTGTAAGCACTATCTGTTTACACTGTGACCTTTACTTTGAAAGGCTCTGTGACATCCCTGTTCACTGTCTTCCTCTCTCTTCTTCAGCCTGTCGTTCGGCACGGAGATCACCTGTAAGACCGGCAGGTATCGGGGGCAGAAGGTGCCCTCCGACCCGTTAGTGGTGACGGTGAAGTATGGAAAAAACACCACCAAGGATGTCCCAACGCCATACCAGTACTCGGAGAATCCCAAGATCTCAGAATACAAGCCTAAAGACAGCTTCATTTGGTGAGTCGGCTTCCGTCCGGTCAGTTGCTCAGTCTGCAGCACTGATTGGTGGAAACGAAATGTTATAATATATGTTGTTTGAATGTCTGTCACCAGTTTTAAAGGTATAAATTTAAAATAGTAGAAAATGTAATGCTGACTGGGTGAACTGGTGTGTAGGAGAATGAAAACCAGTAAGCTGTCTCACCCAGCCTAAAAATCTAAGTATTGAAAAAATGCATTTTAGAACAGTTGATGATGCGATGCACTTGACTCGGCCTGTGTGTGTGTTTGCAGCGGTGGTCGAAGGATCGTGGTGACAGGAAGCGGTTTTGACCTGATCCAGAGAGCCACCATGAAAGTCCTGCCGTCCCCTGACGAGTTTTCACAGGAGACCGCACTGGTGGAGGTGTGTGTGTGTGTGTGTGTGTGTGTGTGTGTGTGTGTGTGTGTGTGTGTGTGGAAAGCAGCTCCAGAGAGTTGTGTTGTTGGTCCTTTGTTTGAAGCGACACTTCCTTTCACACTTGTTTCTCAGCTTCACTTCTCTGCAGAAAGTTTGTTTTTTTTTTTCCTCTTCTCGTTCTTTGTCGCTCCTACATTCTTCTCTCTCGCTTCCAAATTTGGTTTTTTTCTTTCTGCTTTCTCCATCTTTTGTTTTGCCTCTGCCAGTTTTCATCATGTTAGTGGCAGCTTTGGGGTTAGAGTTTATCAGAAGAGAATTCTCTTAAATATGCAAATGGATGTCTTGTGTAAGATGTTACAGAGCATTATGACTACAAAATAAGTATACTGTGAGTGCTTTCAGTTGTTCTGTGTGGATCAAAACAGTCATTAAATTGGTTACAACAAAGCTAATTGTAACACTGATGTAACTAAACATGTGATGTAAAATGTTTACACTTGGACGTATAATAGTTTAATCAAAAATGTCTTTTTCTGAGCTTCGAAATGAAGAAAAACCTTTAACTATTAAGTATTCAGGATTTTTCTTTTTTTATTCTACATATCAACTGAGGACACAGTTACTGGATTTAATCATATTTTCAATAAAAGCACAATATGGGCTCAGTGTGAGTGAGTCTGCAGCCACAACTGTTCTTTCTGAGTCAAAACCCTGAAAGAGAGAAAAGAGATGAACCATCCATTTCGTTGCTGAATAGCTTTGAGTGACAGATTCTCTTCAGGCGGCTTCGCCGCAGGGGAGAAGTCGTTTCATCATTGCTTCACCAGAAGCCAGTGTGTGAAACGGGGGGGTGGGGGAGGGAGGAAGCAGGAAATCTGAAGTAAAAGTTGCACCTGCGCTGAAAATCTGGAATCACTTCAAAGTGTGGAGTGATTCACTCAGACACTTCTAAGTGTTTAAACCTATCATACTATTCAGCAACTCTTCTGATGGTCAGACAGTTTAGTTATTATTATAGTTTTTAAGAATAAAAATGCCCAAAACTAGTGGTATTGGGTCCTGACTCAATGTAACAGAACTTAACAGGGAGAAAATGACTCCTTCACTTCTCCTGGGGTGAAATTCACGCTTCTTCATGTCTCTCAGTTTGTCCAGGACGCTCACAGTAAGAACGACACCGTCCTCCAGTTTTACTCTCCGTCGGTGAACAGCTCCCTCGACACCCAGTCTCTCAGGACCATTCTGCAGCTGGACAACGTGATGGAGGAGCTGAAGGACTTTAACTATCACCCTGACCCCAGCTTCAACGAGCTCGCCAAGAACGTCATCACAGAGACCAGCATCATCATCGTGACCGTGAGCAGACGCACTTACATTTACACTTGGTGCCACTCTCTGTCTGTGGGTCTGTTGAGTTCACTCTCTTATTCTTGCTGTCACCAGGGTCGAGGTTTCCTCAAGGCCATGACGGCTCAAGAGGCTCAGGCGTTTGTTGGAGACGCCTCGTGTCACGTTAACATACTGCAGGTAAACACACTCACATGGAGCTGATATTGGCTTTTTTATGAAATGCTTGATATCAAACAGTCACATCGTCCGTGTATAAATCTGCAGTAATGGTGGATCAGCTTAATGCCCATTTTGAGTCTAGCGGTTGATGCTGTCATGCTCCAGAAACACGGGCTTTCAAAAACACATTAGGCCACGCTTGATCTCTGTTGTAACACTATACAGCAAACTGCTCAGCAGTCTGAGGAAAGTTAATCGGCCGAGGCGGTGGCTCCAAATGACTGAGCTGCAAAGATGCTTCTTTGCATTTCAGCTGTTATTGATTTTTCCAGAGAAAGCGCCGGCACGTGGCGGCAGAAGATCACACATCATTACCAGGTCACAGGCGCAGACAAGCATCATAGGAAATGGTGTGAGAAGCAAAAACAAGTCAGTGAAAGAAATATAAGTCACACATACAGAAGCGATCAATTTGAATAACAATAAAATGCAAAGAAAACATGTCACAGTCACAGAAGATCAATTCTAATCGGGCTCATCTTTATAAGAAGAAGTCCCGTCCTCCAAACTACCTTTTAATGTATTAACTGATAGGATGCACACTCTACCCTACTGACATATGCAGCCTGTGTTATGTGGACTTGAGTAGACACCGCTTGTTATCCCACAGCTGGCAAACAAGTTGTAAAGGTAAGCTAATACCAACAATACCTCCTTCTCTCAACTCTGTCCAGGATGATAAGTTGATCCTGGAGGCTCCTTCATCGCAGCCCAGAGCCAGGTCCAAGCGTCAACGCAGAGACACCACCAACGACCCGCTGGACCTTGTGGTAAACTCACCAACAAAAACAAATGACAGTTTCCTAAGCTTCACTGTGACAAGATTAGCATCACACAGGCAGGTGGGGAATGGAATGTTCTCTGTCATTTAACTCGATGTTCCAGCCTAGAAGGATATGTAGACATTGAACGGGACAGAGACAAAGACAAAAGCCTCCCCACATTTGATTAGATACAACTTAGATACAACAGTTTAGCACCTAACCAGAAGTGCAATAAGAGCAGTGCAGAGTGCGCAGTATCTACATTCTGTACATCCTAAGGTTTCCAAAGATACCATTTCAAGCTGATTTAAAGTGAAATGATCGTGAAGTGATGCACAACCACACCAGAATGTTGAGTTTTACTGGTGTTCAGAGGTTTAGTTTGAACCTTTTTAAAGTGGAACACAGCGTGATCTCTGTCTGTCCAGGTCAAGTTCGGTCACGGTGAGTGGATAGTGGGTTCAGTCTACTACGCCAGAAAAGTCGACATTCCTCTGGCTATAATCATCCCTGCAGTTATCATACCCATGCTGCTCTTCATCGCCGTGTCAGTCTACTGCTACAGGTTCGACAGAGTACCTTAAAACACATGCAGCACAGGCACTTGTTGATGCGTTTAAATATCGACCTGTGTGTGTGCTGACAGGAGGAAGAGTCGGCAGGCAGAACGAGAATACGAGAAGGTCAGACACCAACTGGAGAATCTGGAGGAAAGTGTCCGGGATCGCTGCAAGAAAGAGTTCACAGGTGCCCACACTCACCTGGAGCGAATTCACAGGACAGCTGATTAATGTTGTAGTCAGTGTGCGCCCTCCTCTTTACACCCAGGGTCTGTTGCTGTTGATAGTTTGTTGCTTGTAGAGTTGTCCAGGTGTCTCTGTTGCAAACTATCCAGCGTAGTCTGCCTTTGGCGAGGGGGAGGAGGGCTCTCTGCATCAGCTTTGTGCTTGGCCAACAAATGGTATCTGAGACTCGACGTACAACTCGGTTCATATTGACAGTAAATGCAAAATGGTCTTGTCGACAGAACCATCTGGCAGGGCCTTGAAGTTGAACTCGCCGTTAAAAAGAACCTTTTCTTTATCAATTTCTGCTTATTTCTGTTGCTGCATCGCTCATTGATTTCCCAAACTACGGGGCAGGCCGAGGGTCATAATCACAGAATGTGCATGCGTTAATCGCGTATCAAAAAATTAGTGGCATTAAAAGGAATTTGTGCATTATCACTAACTTTGAGAGCTCTAATATAAATAAAAGTACATATAATAAAATAAAAATATTTTATGAAATATCAAAATTACAAAATTGTGCATACTTTGTACATTCTTTTGTTACTACTTTAAACTATTTTGCATCATATATTTTGTATAAAAATGTGGAGTGATTCACTCAGACACTTCTAAGTATATATTGTGTGTACATTTGCGCACACTCCCCACACAGGTTACTGGTTAATTAGAGCCATTCTTAGCACTGCACACCTCCACCACACCTCCACCACACCTCCACCCGGCTCAGCCCAGCAGGAAGTAGCCAGAGTGAAAACACCTGGTGTCTGTGTGGACCCTTCGATGTGTAAAAATAAATCTAGTGTACTAAAGATTTCCCTCTGTAATGTGCTGAAGTAGAAGTATAACGTACTTGAGTACACACACTGCATTTCAGCCGGGGTTGTAGGATATGTACACCCCCCCCCCCCTCCACCATTATTA